AAGCAGACTGTAATGGTAGGAGTAATAATGATAAAAACACTTAATCGTGTAATGCAGCTTTGGCAGTTGGAGAGTTAGACAGTAACCTGCAACTTAATGCTTTTGAACTTGGGAAGCAGCTTTGGTTAAAACCAAATGCCTGCTGAAGAAAGGAGTTTAAGTTATTTCAAATTGGAAGTATTTCCATGGCATTTCTTGGGCTCATTTTCAGAAACTATTTACTTACGTGCAACAGCAGCAAAACCTGTTCAGTGTCATAGCATTTTGTAACACAGCAAGGTATTAATTACGCTCTTGAACCTGGTAATGTAACATTGATGCTATTATGATGGGAATAGTTCATTCAACAAGGGTGATTAACCACTTATTTCCTTTTTCCTGAATACCATTACTTTGTACCTGGATAACAAAAATCAATGCTGATCTTCAGCAGCATCACAGTATTCTATTGTATTAATCTCAGTCAACATATTCTTCATTTTATTATTGCCTGCATTCTTTAATTGAGTTCATTTCCCATCACACCACCAGCCCCCACCAAATTTCTCATTGTGGGTTTTATTACTTGAATTGGAGCTCTCCTATTTCACTATTTGTTTTGTTGGCAGGGAAGGGAGAAAAAAAAAGCCTCCAAACAGCTGAGTGCCAGTAGTGCTGATGACTTCTGTTTTATTTATGTTTTGCACTGAGCCATGGTGAATGATAAAGTGTGTCTGGGACACGGCTGTGGGCAGCACTCTAAGTGTTATAGTTGGAAATCTGCCAGAGTTGCATTGCTACCAATTTTTTACCCTTAGCCTTCTGGAAGGAAGGATTCAAAGTCTCATTTTATTCCCTTCTTCACCTGTGTCACCTTTGCAGTAAATTAATGTGAGATGTTTAGCAGAGATGGAGCTGACGTGGTGAGCTGTTGCTCCCACAGCTTCCCCTGGCACTGGAGCTGTGAGGAGTCAGGAGCATCCTTTGGGATAACAGAGAGCTTGGCTTGCAGCTGGAGCCTGTGGTGAGGTTGTGCTGATGTTGTCCTGGAGCTCAGCAGGAAACTCTGAGCTTGATCCCGAGGAAAAAGCAAAAAGCAGCAGTTGTTCCCTGCTCAGCTGTGTGGGGACTCGTGTCCGGGGCTGTAATTAGAAGATATACCTGCTAATGAATTGGTGTAATCCCCTGCTGTGTTCAGAGTCTGTTGGGGGATCTCTTTTCCTGCCTTTGCAGAGGCAGGTGACCTTGCTAAATACTTAGCAGTAAAAATGTGTTTTCCCTTGCTTGTTTCACAGCCTTTCTTCTGGCTCTGCCAGTGGAGCTCTTCTTTATTAATTGAAAATACTTACTCAAGCTTAGTTTCAGGGAAGGAGGGAAGTTAGAAGAATGAACATGAACATGTTCCATATGTGTCATGGATGCACACACATATGGAATTCTGTTTTCTTAATGGCCACACTAGCAATAAAAACAAAAGAAATGTAATATTTAAGCAAGGAATTACGTTTTCAATTACTTTTCAGTCACCAGCCACTTAAAATATTTTATCTTTTCTCCTCCCAACTAATTTATTCAATTGCAATTAGGTAGATTGTAATTAATATTTGATGAGACAAACTAATACTAATTTGAATATCTACTACACTGTAACATTTGCTCACAGATGTGTTGTTTAGCTCCTAGATACCTCTTTTCTGCCCTTGCTGAAGTTGCAAATGCTCATCAATGTTGCCACAAGGCCCAAGCTGTACCTCAAGCTGTATGACACACAAATATAAGGATGAGTGTGCTGGGTCAGAGGAGGGTCCAGCCAGCTCCTGTCCTCACCCCGACAGGGATCAATAGTTGATGCCTAAAGACAAGAATTAAGAACAGGGCAAAGGTACAGCAAGGCTTCCTGAGAGACAGAAAGTCTCCCAGACTTCATTGATTTGTGGCCTGGAAACATCCCAAGGTAGAAATGGTGTCTTCAAATTTAATATTTGAGCTTATTTGTTACGTCTAAAGTATATAGTTATTTTGTATAATTCATGCTTCCATCAGCAAAGGACTGAAATTCCTCCAAGGGAAATACTCTCTTTTTACTGGAAAAATGTCTTGTCTGCCTTTTCTGATTAATGAGAACATCCATATGCCGGCTTTTGTGAGTGGAAGACGGATCTGATACCACTTAACTATGTTAACTGAATGTAAAAATCTGAAGTGGTGGGCTAATGAAAGTAATTTGCAGTTTGTCGGCGTGTTCCCTCTGATCAAAGACGAGTGGGGGAGCACAGCAACTCAGAAACAGCACAAGCAGGCTGTGGGATTTCTAGGACATGGGGCATTTTTTTGCAAGTTCAGACTTGGTTTTGTTTCAGGTAGGAACAGCGGCAGCTCCTACAGCAGGTGCAGGCTTAAATGGATGATTTCTGTGTCAGGGATCATATGGATTTGGGAAGGATCTTAAAGACCATCCATGGACAGCTTCCACTGTCCCAGGTTGCTCTGAGCCCCATCCAGCCTGGCCGTGGACCCTTCCAGGGATGGGAAGCCACAGCTTCTCTGGGCACTGTGTCCTCACTCTGCAGCTCCTGAGGCTCTGGGCTTGGCAAGAGCTGCCCAAAGCCAAGGAGGTCCAAGGAGCACCTTGGCAGCTCTGTGGTGGGCTCTCTGAGGCTGTGAGAGGGAAACCAGCTAGACACTGACCATCAGGTCAGGACTGACCTACTGAATGTGAGGGGGTTTTCTTGCCAAACTGTACAGGTTTGGGCAACACAAATGGCATACATTCCTTTTTTTTTTACTATATTTTTTCTTCTTTTTTTTTTTCCTTTGTATGGTTCTGAGCCAACACAAATTATAGCTCGTGAGGGTTTCTATGCATTTATCTTTTGTAGCTTTTTACTTTATTGCTGACTAGGATGGTCCCTGGCCTGGCTCCCTGCCCCTGTATTGTGTGATACACATCAGCAGAGTGTGGAGGAAGCACACTGCCTTCAGACTGGAGCATCTGCCCTTTGCTGCTTCCTGGAAACCTGGCCATTGATTTAATTTCATTAAGTTGCCCCATCTTAGTTATATCATGAGAGATGGGAATTGTGCACACTCACTGCATTTTGTCGTGAATAAAGTTGTTTTCACCTCGACATCCATACCTCCTGTTACTTTTCTTCCTTCACATTGCTAGATATTCTTTGGCAGACTGTTCTAAACAGAAACATTCAGAACCCCACCTTTCCCAGCCTGAGCTCAGGCTCCTGCACTCAGGTTGCAGTGATGATCTGGTCCTCTTGCTCTACTCAGCTGATGCTCTGGTTAGTGCACAAAAATGTGGCACTGATTTTCTTTAGTGACTATTCTGTGTTACAATTTACGAGTAGAAATGAAAAAGTAATTGTAGCTGTGGTCTCCAGAGATAAAATCCTTAAAAGCAGTAGAATTAGGTCTTACTGCTGCCTGCAGATCAAACTGGTGCAGCATCAGCCATTCCTGTGCCCATAAGTCACTCAGCAGCCATTTCAGTTGGCAGTCTGATTTTTCATGGTTGGCCTGGAAGAGAGCAGGAACTGAAGGTCCAACTTTTGTCCTTCATGTCTGAGTTCAAGAAAGGCAGGAATTCTGCAAATGTGTACAACAATCATGGGGCTGAGATCTGCCACCCTGACTCTGTTGTGGGTGTCCTGCAAGGTGTTGTGGAGCCTTTAGGGGTGTATGGAACATATGAGGTCCAGTAAAGTAATTAGTGCTAAATGAAGTAAATTTATTTGATTGTTCTGATCTGTGTGACTATGCGTGCCGTGTGGACTTCAACAAAAAAAGAAAAACCCCATTATGTACATCTGTGTGTGTATATATATGTAAAAGGCACTATGATGCTGACTTCCAGAATGCACGATTTCATGTGCTGGTTGCTGAAATACTCGTTCTTGCAAGCCCAAAACCTAATGTGTTTTCCAGATAGGTGTAACCTTTCATGGGTTCAGGGTTTCTTGTGAAGGTATAATGGGATTTTGTAGGACTTTGAGCTACCATGGGCTTTCTACTCTCTGATGTTTTTCCCTTTGCTTTTTGTAAAATTTCTAGGCAAGGTCAGAGTACATTCATGGCTCAGAAAAGCATCTCTGGGTGTGGTTTAAGGCTATGAGCTGTGGATATATCTGACATAGGGAGCTCAGATCCTGCTCTTTCCTCAGTCCTCACCTGTTTTGTGCTGCTGGGCATAGTTTTGCTTCACAGGCTGTATTATCTGGGTGGGGGAAGGATGGTCGTTTGAGTGTTTCCCATCTGCCAGGGCTTAGGGATGAGCATTTGCACTTCACAGAGCTGCTGTGAGGTTTCTGCTTGCTGCTGGTGGTGCTGTCTCTCACCTGGAGTCTGCAGCGAGGCCCGCATCCCTGCTCAGTGCCAGGCTCTGACCTCTTGGGAGCTCTGAGCACCTCTAGCAGTGACAGTGGCTAGAAAATGTGTTGAAGGCAAGCCCCCAACTCCCAGAAAACCCCAGGACATTTCCTAGTCTCTGGCAGTTGCGTTGGAGTCAGAACTTTGGGAACTGCGGCGTGTTGGGCTGGCAGTCACGACTTCCCATCTGCTGTGAGCTCCTAAGCTTTGAATTTCTTGAGTAAGAGCCATTTTATCGTGCAGAGTATTAAGACTGAGGTGATGGCTCTGCTTTTAATATGAAAGTCCTGTTATTCTTCAGAAATGCCATAATGAATTAAAATATTCCCTACGGAGAAGTGCATTACATACTTTTGTGTTACAATATTGGACTGGAATAAAAAGCAGCCAGGCTGTCACTCATTTCCTGGACTAGGGACACTATAAAAGTACTGTAAAGCAAGAATAGCTTTGCACCACATTTCTTGAATTCAATGATTGCCCTCTGAAGGTGCCACACATGATGGATTGTCACAGATTCTCTGTCCTGCCTTGACATTTCATTCCTATCCAATGTTGTCTTGTGTTCTGCTCTGAATCTGCCAAACAACTGACCCTAGAATTTAATGCCACACCTTCTTCTCTTTTCTTTTTCTGAGCAGCATCCTCTGCAGCTGAGGCTCTGAAATACTGGAGGACACTGCATCTTCCTCAGGGACACGGGCAAGGGAGAGCTGGAGCCTCTGGGGGGCTCAGAAAGGAATTGTGGTTGGTGGTCGCCTGAGGAACTTACCTTCACCCCAATGTTGCTCTGAAAGGAGTCGTGTCCAACAGTCAGGTTTGGTAAGGTATGTATTTTTTCCCCTGCTCTTGTATTTTTGCTCTTTTCTGAATGTCTACATGTGGGGAAAGCAGAGCATTAGCAGCCTTTGAGTTTATTGCTGTATTCATGCCATGCTCATACTGTGTCTGTAAATAAGCTTTGCTCTCCCTGAATTTAGAAAGCGTTCAGCAGGAGTGAAGTGTTTTTATTGTCTTGGGCTTGAGGGGGTGTCTGTTTGTGTGAAGTTCTTTATTGAACGAAATGCTCGCTGATGGTTGTGTGTTGCTGCTGGTGATGGATACTTGGTGATAGGAATCTATGTTTTGAAAATCCCACTTGTTGTGTTTCACTAATGACTGTAATTCTGAGGGTCAGAGATGGGGAAAATAAAAGGAGATGAAGTAGCCCATTTGTAATTCAGCCCTGTGCTTTCCTTTGTGCTTTGTATATTCTCACTGTGTGCAAAGGATGGAAATACCACTACCAATTTCCTGTATAATAGTATTCCCTCTTTTTTGTGTAGCACTTAAAATTTTTATTTGTGTGAGTGTTCTCATACCCACACAAATGTTGCCCTGGCTGTGCTGGAACTGTAGCAAAGCAATATTGCAACCATTTTCTAACAAGAAACTGAAGGCCAGGATGTATTGTTAATGAAGATTGTGCTAGATGGGATTTTAGGGTAATACAGTCTCTATGGCTTCTTTTACCTAGGTCAGGTTATTTTTGTGAAGGCAAAGTTTTCTGAGTAAAAAACCCCAAACAAAGAAACAAAAAAAATCAGATTTAAAGCAATGGTTCCAAGATCTCTGTAGAGTGATATCTGATGACATTATCCTTTTTCATTTAGCACATGGGTATTGACTTCCTTCATATAACTGAACCAGCACTATAATGTTGCTGGGAAAAGTACAGCAGCAATATAACACCTGTGCTTGGTGTCAGTGGAGGAGCAGGGAAAAGAAGTCAAGACTTTCTTAAAAGCCTCTAAAATAAATCACAGTGCAGGTGAGTGTACATTACTTCTCCTACTTTTGATCTGGTTGGACTTGTCATGTTAGCTCTGGAAATTGTGGGCTCTAACTCTTATGCTCCAGCAGAGCTCTGCCAGTGTCTGGCAATTGCAGGGAAAAGTTGGTTGGAACAGCTTAAATTGGGTGCTTAACTTTTAAATGTTGAGGGTCAAGAAAGGTCTGTTCCAACCACAGCATGTGCTGTTAATTTGTACAGGAATTTCAAGCAAACAACACGGTTGCCAGGGCAAGGTTCCCATCATTACAGCACAGCACAGCTCTGCTTGTCTGCCTGCTCTGGTTTCTGGAAGAAGAGCTTGTTAGACATTGCTCCTGCCTTTATTATCCTCTTCACTTCTGTTTATTTCCAAGCTACTGCTCTTGTGATTATAACACTTAAAAGGGAAGGTTGTAGGAGAGGTATTTTGTAATCAAGAGAGCTTCTTGACTCTCGCAGAGAAAAATTTGGCACTGTTAGAATATAGAAATCAAAGCAGTTTTGTTTATTCCTTGTTTGGCTTTGAGATTTCTGACTTGAATTATGTAAATCTTTCTTTCAGTGAGGGTGTGAGTTTTGCTGGGTGCCCAGGGTGTCCTGGGGTGTGTGAGGATCTGCTCCAGAGATGTTGGTTGTTGGTATGTTGCTGCTCCTGCCTTGGATAGCGGGGCAGGAAAGAGCTCCCCTCTCATTCCTGAGCCAATCCAAGTCTCACTCTAGGTCTATATAAATGATTTGTGTGAAATTATTGTTAAGGCATTAAACTCTAGGTTGGATTTTGATTATACTTTTGCATTTTACTTCGTTACCATCAAATCTAAAACTTGGTTTTTATTTAAATCTCACACTTCTGGAACCTTCATCTTTAAGAAGAACATTTCACTTTGAGAAGGTTGTGCTAAACTATAAAGATTTGGCCAAACTGTTGTTGCTCACTTGAGTAGATGAGGCCTTTCCTTATTGTTTCTCTTCATCTTGGGGACTCGTGATTACCAAAGTACTTGACTGCCATCAACTTTATCTGTTCCCACAACACCCTTGTAAGACAGAAGTGCTACTTATCCCCATTTTGTAAATGGTGAATAAGAAACAGAGTCACTTCCAGGTCACTTTTAAGTGGCAAACATCTGTCCCTGATTTTCAGGCTGTCTTAGTGCACAAGCTGCATCTGCAGCCCTGGCTGAGCACAAGATTTAGTTATGGATCTTTCTGAGGTCACTGCTCCCACCCAATCCAGTTTCTTCCATGTGTCCTGCTCTCTCAAGTAGAGAGGGTTTTAATTAAGTGATTACAGTAACACTTAATGACATCAGGACTCAAGGTTTCCCTCTCTATCTCTACTGAAAACTGAAACATCTGTTCAAGTGATGTGGGCTGAATTCATTCATCTTTGCAGCACAGTGTTTGCTCACGTGAGACGAGCAGATGCCCTTTTAGCAACACTTATGAAATTGTGCTGATGGTAATCTTATTGCACAAGGAATTAGTTTAAATGGGTCTGAAGATGATGTGCAGAGCAGTAGTTTTTTTTCCGAAATTGCCCATTTTTAGATTAGTAGAATCTGGTTAGTAAAATGCTCTGTTCGGCTGAAAAGGCACATTTAATAAATATGTAAGAGAAATTTTTAAGTAGCCATTAAACATAGTTAATAAATTTTATCTTGCAAGTAGAATTGGAAAAAAACCTGTTCATTTAATGTGTTTTATGGCTCTCATAGCAATTAATTGTCTTCATTACATGAACATAAATCCTCAATGTAATTCACCTTTTTCAGATTAATTGCTATGGAAATTTTCCCTTTGCTTTGTTTAGACTAGTAATATTATTTCTCTTTTCTAAAAGCTGAATCTCAACACCACATTTTTTTATCTTTTCCAGATGTTCTGTAAATCAGTTCCAGTTAAAAAAAAATCTTTTTGTGCTCCAGGCCAGTGCAGGGGTGGTGGTGCAGCTGTGATGCTCTGATCAGGTGAAGCAGAGACTTCAAGCCTTGCTTGACCTGCAGCAGAGCAGTGGGCAGGTCTCCCTCTCTCATTCATTCTGTTATGTGGTCTGATAAAAACTTATTATTTCTTTCTTCAAATTTTTCTTTTTTCTTGCATGATTTCATTTATTAAATCAGGAAAAAAACCCTCTGACTTTATATGCCTCTCACAGTAAGACCCTAATGCAACTTTTTACTGTTTTTGCTGAGGGATACAAGTCTGAAAATTCATCAGTAAAATTGTCCTCCAGCTTTATTGTGGGAAAATTTTGGTTGGAGTGTCGCGGGATTGCTGCTTGAATTCCCAAAATTAAATTAAAAGCTGCATTTTGATTAAAGCCTTTATTCCCCTGGATTGAATTTTGCACACCAAACAGGACAAGAGGACAGCATGCAGGATTGTGTTTTACATACATTTTTTATCAGTGAGCAGGCTGAGCTTGTTTGCATGAGTAACATTTATGCAAATGTTTTCTAATGTTCCTCCGGACTGTTTTGCCAGGGTGAGGATATGAAACAGCTATAATATTTGCATGTTTTTGTTGCAAGATCAGCAGACTGGCTGTTAAGGTATCAATTCCCTTGATGACGCCACTTCTGCATCCCCATTCACTCAGCTTCTCCTCACAGGGCTTTTATTGAATCCATCAACCTGACACATATCAAAGCACAATTTCTGATAACAAATATCTTGTTGTAAAATGAATTAAAGAGGTGATAGCAGCAGCAGAACCGAGTTGAATTTCTGAAAGAAAATAAGAAACTCCAATGCTAACATGAGATTCTTAAGATACCAATCACAGAACAGAGATATAATAGTCCTTTACCTGTTCTCCTGAAGTACTGAGAAGTCAGTGGGTCTGTCTGAAGTCATTCAAAGGGCCTTGCTCCTGGGCTGGCAGCTTGTGGCTCTGCCTGCTGCCTTCTGATGTTTGTAGTGGTGCTTCAGAGAGCCTGGTGAAGTTGGGGTTTGTTTTCTTCTGGAGACCTTTCCCCTGCAAGGAGCAGCAGCCTCCTTGTAATAACTCTGCACTCCAGTCGTGCAGAGACCTGGAGACTGAGGAGAGGGAAAAGCTGGCTCTGAGTGCAGCACACATTCTTTCTCTCAGAAGCCAAAGCAGTTTGGAGCCCCTTGTCCTCTGCAGAGCTGCTGCTTGGCAGCCCATGGGCCATGTCTTTGGCAGAGCCCAGCCAGGGTGGAAAAGGGCCTGTGTTTCTTCGGGCTGCAGGTGTTTTGAAATTAGCTGGCTCAAAACCTTGGTCTGAGAACAGATTTTCTCTGTCTCCTTGCAGCCTTCTTCTATCTGTTTTGCTCTCTTTGTCCTGCTTTTTTATTCCCTTTGGTTTTGCATCTCTCAGAGGACAAGAAGCTTCTGGCAGGGCTGCCTTTGCACTGGTACTGCTCTCACTCTGCCCAGGCTCACTTACCTCTGATTTTTGGCTAGCAAGCCCTGTAAAATACTAGCTAATAATAGTCATGCTTTTTTCTCTGTGGCAGGCCTGCTTTCTGGATAAGTATCCACTGACAGTTTGCAGCCTAGCAGAGAGGAAGAGGAGGGCAGCCAACAGTTGATGTGGAAAATTAATTATGAGCTGCCATCCTCCTGCCATGTAGTTAAGGCAGTTCTGCATTGCAAGCTTTACATCCAGCTGTGCATTTCCTTCCTCACATAGTGGGAATGCTGCCAGAACAAAGCTTAGTGGAGAATGTCTCTTGCGGGACTGATCACTCAGGATGCTCTGGAGCCTTTACTGCTCTGCTTTCAGCTGTGACACCACCCAAGGAGTAATTTTTTACTTTTTGTTGGAGGAATGTTTAGCTTAATTGTGCATCCAAGTTGATAAAGATTTTTGTGTGTGGTGGGGAAGTCACCCGTGTCCCCTCTGCAGTCAGGGAGCAACATTTTTGTGTTCCAGTGTAGTGGTGTCCTGGTAACATTCAGGTTTAGAGGAGCTGCAGCTTTTTATATTTTCATCCTTCAGGATGACATATTTACTTCATAATGATCCTCAAAAACTGGCCTTGTCC